TAATATGTATAAAATCTAAAAAAGTGTGGGATATTAAGAAATTTTATTTCCAACTGCTGCATGGCATTTTAACTGTGAGTGTCATAATACTCTAAGTTTTTACTGCAAAAGGCCCCCCATATATTTGCATGCTGTGATGTCCCAGGAGTAAAACAATGTTGTACATTGTTTCATGATGTTTTGGAAAGTTACAGGGTCAAATAAAGAGCTTGCCCATATCAGGCTTTACATATTGAAATTTGCTAGACTTGTTTGGCACAATCGTGACAAAATGCAAGAATATATGCAGGGAATTAGACATGAGAGAAAACAATAAAACCTGAAACCAGGAAGGAAATAGAAAGAAATACTCTGAACATTATTAATATACAAGAGAAATTAGAATGTATGCCTTGTACAATGCACATGCGTAGTGTAACTCTGCATAATGTATGTATGCACTATGTGTTTATATACACTTTATGTTAACATGCTGTTTCAAAGATTTAATAATTCTGTCATATGGAGTAGACATAACTCCACTATGAACACTTTATTTTTATTTATTTGTTTTTACAGTATTTTAACTTTATCAGACAATTTGTTTTCCTCTAGAGTAGAAATTACTAATATAAAATATGGGAAAGAGCTCTAGAGGGGTTATTCACTATCTGGACAAAATTAGAGAATTCTGACTGCCATGGCAATTCTTATATTCACCACAGCCAAATACTGTTGAAATTTGGTTGGCTTGAGTGAATCTGCAGCAATCACCTAGATGCATTTGGTGTTTGTGGCGGTATACCCTCTTGAGGATGGGTTACTACTGCGTGTGGTCACCCCTTCCAAGTTGTGCCCAGCCCTAGAGTGATTATAGCTGCTAGCCAGTGATTATAGTCGCTTGCAGAAGGGCAATTGTGTTATCACCCAAACACTACTTGAGACAATGTATTTATGCACAGACCCCCATAGGGGGTCTCCATTTACAGCAATACAAAATATAAGCCCGGCGCGGCTGTGTCTGGGAGATAATGGTATGTCGCGGACAAAGGAAGCTGAACAGACAGAAAAACACAAAATACACACAATACAGTAACACACCCACACATGCCATACATCCCCAAATAGCTCCTAGTCCCAGCTATAATCCCTGCAAATTGTAGATTGTGCTAGCTTTAGTGTACCTATAATCTTCATTTTATTAATGACAGGAGGTGAATATTTGCTTAAGTCTCTCTTTACTAGAACTCCACAGCAGCACATTAATACAGAGAAAAAACAACCATCAGAAAAAAGTTAGTTACAACAAAACTCCCCTCCCCACACAACTTCTTCTTTCAAGCTGCGACAAAACAGAACAAAAAGGCAGAAAAAAACAATGTAGAGAAAAACTAAGTCCTAGATACAATGACTGCAACAACATCATCCATCCGAGAAAAAAATGTAAAACCTGGCACCACAGACTGACTGTAAACTGAAACGAGAGAAACAAAATCGAAAGGGTTGGTTAGATAATGAAATGTACTCTGAACAAAACATGTAGGCACCCAAAATACAACTAGAAATACTGTAATGTACAGTGATCCCAACCCTTATGTAGGAAGCGGACACATGAACAAGCGATAGGTAGCAGAGACAACATGCAGAGTTGCATACATACCTGATTACCCCAAACTATTGGAAACTAAACAAAAAGGGAGGGATAAAAATGGGTGGGAAATATTTGCCTCCTGTCATTAATGAAAATAATATTATAGGTACACTAAAGCTAGCATAATCTACAATTTTATAACATGACAGGAAGCTTCATATTCGCTGTTTTAATGCTCAGCCAACAAAGCCAATGATGCTTGTTTTGCTGGTACATAATCCGGGAGATAACTAGAGCAATCCCGACTGGACCTTCCAATTACGAGAAGTGATGGCAGATCTATCGATGAAGTTGCCAGTCGTTGGTGTTCCTCAAACTACGGAAAAAAAGCAATCCGCTGTTAGATCCGCTGTACTCGGGGAATTGCGACCTGGTTCTGTGAAGACGATCCATGAACTGCAAAGCCCGCATATTGTCCATTCTCAGGCAGATTCAAAATTCGGAAGATCATTGGCAGGATTGGACCTGTGAGAAAACTGCCACCAGGTCTCGACCCTTGATGTGGAAGGCAGCTCTTCTGATCGTGCCAGGATCACCATGTGATGTAGTCGCCAAACCAGTTCCCCAACCCTAAGCTACGCGTCCGAGTCCACAACCAAGTCTATAACAGGACCGAATAGAGCCTTTCCGTTCCCTCATGGCCTACGAAGCGAGCGGTCTTATCTGAGAATAGATCTACTACGCTGGCAAGAGTGCGGGGGGAAACCCTAGATGTCTCCAGTACTCAAATTGAATTGTGGAACCTGCAACTGTGGTAGTCAAAGTACTTCTAAGGGAGCGTCTGTTCAGAGTTCCAAGAACTGCATCCATGGGGCGAGATGAGGATCAAGTACCCTGGGAGACTGTGAAGCCTTGAGATACAAAAATTAGGGGAACGTAAATAGAGGTTGAGATTTTGGTCCGAAGGAATTGCTGTTGAAGAGCGATAAGAGATCCGTATCCATAGGGGTTATTGGAACCAGTATAAACAAAGAAGAGCCGTCACTGGTTGTAGCCGCTTGGTGGAATGCAAAGGAGTCAAATATGGCCGAAGAGTAAACAGGTGGAAACAGAATCGGGCCATGTTGAGCGGGTCTGGGTCATGATGTCTTCCCGTGGGCCTGTCGACAGTATAGAATGTGACGGCAGATAAGAACCATTCGGCCCATCTAGTCTGCCCAATTTTCTAAATACTTTCATTAGTCCCTAGCCTTATCTTATAGTTAGGATAGCCTTATGCCTATCCCACGCATGCTTAAACACCTTTACTGTGTTAACCTCTACCACTTCAGCTGGAAGGCTATTCCATGCATCCACTACCCTCTCAGTAAAATAGGAAGAGAGCAGAGTAGTCCGAATGACTAGATGTACAATCCCGCTGCAGTTCAGCCCTGTCAAAAGCCAGAGGAGGGACTGATGGTATGCTTGTCACATCGAAGATATGGTATAATTGAGTGAGGCATCTAGGTCCCTGTGTTCGTGACTTTCTGAAGAATGTTACTCTCAAGAGTAGGCCATAGGCCAAGGGACCCAGGTCTTTGAACTCGAGGTCTGAAATCTAGGTATCCATACGAAGGAATACCACCCATCTTCGTCTAGAGCCCCATGACCTTTTAGCGTTGCCTAATACATATATAGAATGTAAAGCCCATTCACCAATGACAGCCGAATCCAGGGAACAGATATTGCGAAAACGGAAGCTTCATCTGCCGGAGCAGGGAATGTGCCCGGGTTCCGAGAGTCGAACAGAATTTGGGTCGAAGAGAGGATCCCCCATCGAGTCAAAGCAGCCGCCCTTGTTGATACCTGAATAGGTGGGTGAGTGAAAGATAAATCCAGGATGGCCTCCGTGAGGGGATTCGTGTACAGAGGTAGAGTCCTCCACATCCAAATCATGCTCTCCAGGTTCATTCTCAGAGGAGTAGAGGTCCTCCTGCTATATATCCCAAGATTGCTAATGTCTAGGGAATGCAAAGCAGTGCGTACGGTGTACTTGCAGACCGGGTTATGGGTTTTTCCCAGTCTCGCCATGCATGTGAGGCAGTGCATGTCTGCTTTTTGGAGGCATCAGAATCTCTTGTTTCCTCTGATAGTAGAAACAGCCTGAGATGTTTATTCACAATGGAGTGAATGATGAAAGCATCATGTGATTGCCTGCTAGAAACAATGCAGATTATACCATAGAATACATGCCTGCAATAACTGGGGCTCACCCAGTAAAAATAACACCTCCAGAAGTATATCCAGTAGGGAGGTATAGTGACAACAACAAAGTGGGCCAATCATAGGAGCTGTACCAGTGACAGCCAGGTCAAACAGCCCGTGCACTGACCAATAAGGCATCAGGGAAAGTGCAGATATGGTGGGAGGGTTTCCCCCAGTAATACCTCAGTGGGTATATCCCGAATGGAGGTACAGTGGCACAGACTAAGCAGGCCAATCATAGGAGCTGTAACAGTGACATTCAGCTCAAACAGGCATTACCATGCCTTATCAAGGAGCACCTATATAAAGAAAAAATAAAAAGTAGATCAGCTGTTAGATCTAATGGAGGGGTTCTCTCCAACTTCCCAGCTGTTAGAGAGGCTCTGGTGAGGTAGGCAGAACCCTTACTGTAAGAGCAGTAACACCAGCAGAAAAATACAGTATGTAGCACAAACATCCCTATTGGGTTGAGTTTATGAGGAACGCCCCTCTAATAAGACACCCATACCCTGTACTGGGCTCGCCCTCCAAAAAGGGAATCAGAATCCAGTACTGAAATAAACTGGAATGCATCTAAGCATGCAATTTGCATCAATATCGGCATTGGGCTGATGTTATGGGAGGGCGGCACCCTCTAATAATATAATCAAATTTCATATCAGCCTCAGGCTGAGCATATGCAAGGGACTCACCCTCTAATAATGTAAGTCGTAGCAATATCAGCATTGGGCCTCTCATAATGAAATTACTCCCAGTATACATCATATAAGAGGTGGACCCAAACTGGGGATAAACAAAACTGACAGGAGTCGGAATAACAATTCAGCCTAGGGCTGTGCCCATGAGTCTAATAAGGGAGTCAGTATAATAAGCTGCAATAACTAGAAATATAAGAAATCTAAAAATGGCTGCCTGGATCCTGCACGGTGTGGGATGGCCGCCGGTAGCCTGAGGAAACGCTGGAGATGTTCTCTGCGATCCACGAGAGCACGGGAAGTCAGAGAGGCAATGGTGAGGCCTCTTGACATCCCGAGCGGGAGGAAAAATCGAAAGACACAAAACAAAGAAATGACAGGACTAGAAATAAAGTTGAGATAAAGGTAAACATGTACATGAGAGGAAAATAAATATCACGGAAAGGAAAATAAAGAACAGGCAAACCAAACAGTAAATAACAAATACATTAGGGTTAGGGTAGGGTTAGAAGTAGGGTTAGGGTTGGGCTAAGAGTAGGGTTAGAGTTAGGGTAGGGTTAGGGGTAGGAGTAGGGTTTGGGTTAGGGTTGGGTTAGGAGTAGGTTTAGGGTTAGGAGTAACCTTACTCGTAACCCTATTCCTAACCCAACTCTAATCCTAACCCTACTCCTAACCCAACACTAACCCTACCTTACCCTAACCCTACTCCTAACCCAACCCTACTCCTAACCCTAACCTTAACCCTACTCCTAACTCTACTCCTAACCCTGCCCCTTATTTTACCCTTAATCCTACCCCTAATCCTACATTTACACTAAGTCCTGAATTTCGCAAGTGCCGACGTTCCGGAGTTCCGAATTCGCAAATTTCGGAAGTGCTGAACCGAACCAAAGTGCTGAATTGCCAAAGTGCCAAATTGCCGAAGTCCCGAATTTTGGAAGTGCTGAACCGAACCGAAGTGCCGAATTTCGGAATGCCAAACCAAACCAATATTTTTGGACTAGCACATCCCTAATGATAATAGATATAATAAGATATAGGATATGCAGCTAAAGACAGAAGAAAATAACGGAGAAAATCCTAAATACAAAATTAAATGCTCGGGGGGAGGAGTGATGACATAACAATGTCACACATGCAGAGAGGTGGAGCTGAAGCAGGAATGGGTTTGACTGAGGTGGGGTACGCTTGAGACTGCATGGTGAACGCTGAGGAGAGCTTAGAAAACTGGCATTTACCATCTCTGAAAATCCCAGGTGAGGTGCTGGAATGCTGCAATTAGTACAAGTCCTGTGAACAACTTGAAAGGGACAAGGGAAGAGAGAGGCTGTTGGAAGAGATACCCTTCGGGGAATATTTAATTTGCTGAAACAGGGAAAATGGTTGAGAACCAGCTGGGAAAGAGCAGTAAAAGTTTGGCAGCCCTACGTAGAAGATATCAAATCCTTGAAAAACGCTTCCCAGATAAGTAAAACAAATATTTTTTTTCTGTTTTGATTATCAGACAATACTCTTTACCTTATATAATAAGAGGGAAAGAGAATTGATACACGAGTCGAAAACTGATAATAAGAGATTCATACAAATCTGCTGTTAAGACATATGCTGTATCTCTCTTTTTATCTGCTTCCTTTTCTTTTAAAAGCTTGATATATAAATACAGAAAAAAGAAAATGAAAAATAATTGAAGAAGAAAAAATTAAAAAGTACTATAACATAGAAAAAGGGGCAGATCTTCTAAACTAAATCTCAAAGTCCTTAATAAATCTACAGTTTATGGTATTCAGGAAACTGCAGGTAATACAATACTGAACTGCAGGAAATACAATGATGAAGTAACTGGAATGCAGTAGCTTTTATAAGTTTGGTAAATAACTTGAAAGGAAAGAAGGGAAAGAGAGAGTCGGCAGGAAAAAGCACTCCTTGGTGAAAACCTAACTTGAAGACAAGAGTGAAATTGGCTATGAACTACCTGGGAAAAATCAGTAAGAGTTTGACAGCCCTGATCAGAAGATAAACCTTTTGAGAAACGCTGCAGAGAATGCTGAAATTATATACAAGCTTCCAGACAAGTAAAACGAATACTTCTCTTTTCTGTTTTATTTTCAGATTATACTATTTTGCCCTATATAATTAGAAGGAAAGATAATTAATATACTGGCTGAAAATTAATAATGAGAGACTTATGCAGATGTGTTTAAAAGATAAATAAGTTATATCTCCATTTTTAGCGGCGTTTTTTTTTTTTTTTGATCCTCAAAAGCTCTATCCAGTTACTATATAGTAAAAAGCCTGACAAATAAATATGGAAAAAGAAAACAAAAGAAAATTGAAGAAGAGAAAGTGAAAAACCCTACAAAAAAGGATAAAGGGGCAGATCTCCTAAATTAACCTAAAAAACCCTTATCATAAACCTTCTGACTGGGACAAGCAGGAAACTACAGGAAATATAATGATGAAACAAAGAGAGTGAAAGAAAGGAGTAGAAGATAAAGGAAAGAAAAAAGGGAAAGGGAGAAATCCAATTCCAAACATCAACTAGAAAGTCCAAAAGGAAATATAACGATCAAAAAAGGAAAGGAAATGGAAAAGAAAAGGAAAAATAAATAACTTAAAGGAAAAGAAAAAGGAGGGAGAGAGAGAATATGAAAAAAAAGAGTAACTCCCCCTGTCAAAACACAAGATGGCGGGGAAAAGAACAACTGAAAACAAGTTACCAACAAAAAAAAGGAGACTAAAATTGAAAAGAGATTATTCTTTTTCACCCCTCATTCTGCAAGTACAGAATTGGAAAAATCCACAACAAACTAAATGGAAGATAAAACAACACAATTGACAGAGGTACTAGGAAACGGAAATGCAGTTTCTTTAGGAAACTAAACAATACTACAAGAGCAATTAATAACAGCATTAGACACACAGTTTGAAAAAATAAAACATGACATTCAAATTAATATGCAGGACTTAAAAAAGGAAATTAGGCAATAGAGGTAATATATCAAGGGGAAAAACTGGAGATACTGGAAGTCCAAGTCAGGACGTATAAAGATATAAATAAACAAAACAAGAAGAAAATGGAAGATATGGAACAAAAAATTGCGGATTTGGAAGACAGTTCCAGAAGAAACAATTTAAGAATAAGTGGAATACCTGAATCCATAACTAATGAATAAATCTGGAAAAGGCCCTCTCTGAAATTCTTATCAATTTAGGAGTTTTTCAAACAGACCAGCCATATATCTGGAAAAGTTGTCATAGAACAGGGAATCCCCCTGTTTCAACACGACAAGAGATATACGTATGTGCTGCTCTACATCGAAAATTAAGAGTAATATACTCAGAGTTAAACGAAAAAAAAAGATCCGTATGATAAGATCAAGATAATGAGGACTTATCCTCCTACACGAGATCTAAAGGAAGATTATTTGCAACATCTACTGGAATGCTGAGATAAAAGAAAATCCGTTATAAATGGGGAATACCAACAAAGCTCACTCTTACATGTGAAGATAAAACCTTTCCCTTTGACTCTTGTGAACATCTAAGTACTTGGATAAGAGAAAACAAAATGTGTAATTTATCATAATTGACATTCAATTATTGTTTTATTTTTGCTATAGATAAGAGTATAATATATACTCAAGTCATTAGGTACGCTAGGGTTCATGCAATTTAAAAAGTATATCCTAATTAAAATAAAGGGCATGTAATACAAAAAGACAACACACAATACAGATATAAATGTGGTGTAAAGTAATAGGGTGGAGTTTATGTGTTTATAACACATATTTGAAGATAATGCATAATAGAGGTAACTTAATTTAAAAGTACATTTATTATAAAATAAGGACATGCAACACAAAATGATAGCACATTTTTTCTCTTTTTCAATATAGAGTATAATATATACTTAAGGTATATTGCACTTTAATGTTCACTTAATTTTAAGTATACTTAAATTATATTGATTTTCAACACAAAAAATGATAATTAAAAATGGAAAATCACCCTAATAGGATTGGCACGTTGTACAGAGTTAAAATCTAAGAAATTAGGAATTGGAACAAATAATGGTAAAGAGGAATCTGAATTATCGATATACTGATTTTTTAATTTTTTTTTATTATTTTGAGACTATACTTGTGTGATTCTTATGCGATTACTGATACAGATTGCAGAAGGGGGAAAGAGAAGGAAAAAAGAGGAAGGAAATTTAGTTTTGCTCCACTGCCATAGATTTATGGTACCAATTTTCACAGGTGATTGTTAAGCAAACTTATGTTGAAATGGTTCTACACATATGGGGTGTGTAGGATAGGTAGGGATCCTACAAATATGTACCCCCAGGAAAGTAGATAGGAATGTGATTAACAAGCAAAAAGACTGAGGGATCTTATATGGGATAATGCTTTGTTAGATATGTGGAGGATTATACACCCCAAGGTTTTGTATTATACTTGTTTTTCGAAAACCTATTTAAGTTATTCAAGGATCGATATCATATTTGGAGATAGGCATTTACCTAAGCTAATAAAAAATAAGACATCAAAACTCTAGTATGATCAGACCACAATCCTGTTGTGCTGGAACTAAAATAAACTCAAAAAAGGGGACAAAATAATTGGAGGATAAATAATATTTTGTTAAATAAAGAAGAATACCAACAACAATTGAAAAAATAACAGAGAATTTCTTTAACCCCTTAAGGACCAAACTTCTGGAATAAAAGGGAATCGTGACATGTCACACATGTCATGTGTCCTTATGGGGTTAAAGAAAACTGGGATAGAGATGTCACTGCCCTCATGACATGGTGTGCGTATAAACGTGTGATCAGAGGTGAGCTGATTAAAATAGGAGCGAGAGAAAAGAAGAAAATTCTATATGGATTAGCAGATTACTATATTAAACTTGAGGAGTTAACTAGACAAAATAAACTTAACCCAGATAGGAAGTTAACACAAAAACCAGTGGAATAAAAAAAAAAAGATTTACTTATAGATAGAGTTAACAGAGGATTAGAAAGTCTTAGTAGGAAATGGTACTATCAAGGGAATAAGGTTAACAAAACAATGTCTAATAGATTAAAAAAAATAAAAGCAAAAAAAAATACTTTAATAAGTTTAAAGAATGAGATATTGTTGACTCCGGAAAAGATATGGATAGCCTTCAAAGAATTCTATTACCAATTATATAACCTTCAAGCAAACCTACGCAGGTACAGATAACAGATTATTTGGACAAAATACAACTACCTCATCTAACAGAAAATCAATCTAAAATATTAAATACAAAGATCTCAGAGAATGAGGTAGAAAAGGCTATAGACAGTCTGAAGGAGGGGAAATCACCTGGTCTGGATGGTTTTAATAACTTGTTTTTATAAAATAACGAAAGATGTTATAAAAGAACCCCTAACCAAAGAACTATTACAAGCAAATATTATAACAATATTGAAAGAAGGGAAAGACCCAATGGGTGGATGTTGGAGGCCATTATGGCCCTTTACTCAGCTCCAACTGCTAGGGTACTTGCAGGGGGGGGGGGGTTGGTTCAGCTCTGACTGGTTCAATCTTGCAAATGGAACCAGGCAGGGTTATCCACTCTCCCCGATTTTATATATAGTGTCACTAGAACCGCTGGCCTCTCAGATCCGAGAAAATAAAGATGTTAAAGGGTTCAGAACAAACTCTGGTGAACTGAAATTGAACCTTTATGAAGACGA